CTGTAAATCCATTAACAAATAACCTTTCTGAGTTTCTGAATATCCCATCATGATCACAGGTTTTGCCCTTTCTGAAAACTTGTCATTTTAGGAATAGCAGAAGCATAACCAAGACAGCCTATAACTCTTAAATGACTGATATTAGGAGGCTTAGAGAACAGCATTTCATAAGGACTTTTGTTATGGAGATTGAATGCTGGTAATCTGTTAATCAAATATACAGCTGCTTGAACACAAATTCCCCAGAATCTAAGTGGCATACAAGACTGAAATCTGATGGCTCTTGCTACATTCAATATGTGTCTATGCTTCCTCTCCACTACACCATTTTGCTGTGGTGTGTGAGGACAGCTACTTTGATGTATAATGCCCAAGCTTGTAAACAATTCTTTGCACTGAGAGTTGAAAAACTCTGTTCCATTATCTGACCTTACTATCTTGATGATACATCCAAATTGATTCTTTATCAAAGTAAAGAAATTCTTTATAGCTACTATAGTTTCAGATTTGAGCTGTAACAAATGTAACCAAGTATATCTGCTGTAATCATCAACAACTGTAAGAAAGTAGTATTTCTTATCAAATGTGGGAACCTTGTATGGTCCCCAAAGATCCATGTGTACAAGTTCAAAGCATTTAGAGGTTTTTGAAACACTGATAGGAAATGAAAATCTAGTTTGCTTAGCTAATGGACAGACTGAGCAACTAGTAAGTGAATCAGTGCTTTTATCATGTAACAGATTTAAACCATGTAGTACTTGGTTTGATGGATGTCCAAGCCTTCTATGCCACAACTCACAGTCTTGTAATGATACCTCTGCAACAATTCTCTGAGGATTTTGAGCTTCACATTTGCCCTTCATGCTAGAATCATTTCTGAATATGTATAGGCTTCCTTCTTCCCTACCAATCCCCTTCACCCTGCCTCTGTAAAAATCCTGAAATATACAGAACTCAGGGTAAAAAGTAGCAAAACAAGACAGCTCCCTAGTTAACTGTGATACAGACAATAAATTGAACTTGAAATCAGGTACACACAACACATCTTTGATCACTTCATTGTTAAACAAATGTGTATCTCCTATGTGTGTTATAGAGGCCTTATCACCTGTGGGTAAGTTCACCTTGTCTTGATGAGAACCAGCTGTACACTTACCATTTTTTAGTAAATGCTCATTTGTTGTAATATGATGAGAAGCACCAGAGTCTACTATCCAACAATGAGAGGCAATATTAGTTGAAAAACAATTTGCCATACCTGTCATGTTGACCTGTTCACTTCCTTTTTATCCTTCCCCAACATATCTATTATTTGCTTGTATTCTCCATCAGTGAATGCATGTCCTCTAGCCATAAAAGTATTGTTTACTTCATGATGACTAGAAGAAGCTTCTCCAGAGTTCTCTTTGCTTACATTGTTAGCTTCTCCAGCATAGTTATGACTATTTCCTCCATATGAAGAATTCATTTGGCCTGACCTTGAGTTATTGAATCCAGACTTCTTTCTGTGTTTCCAATCAGCTGGATAGCCAATTAACCTGTAGCAATTCTCTTTAGTATGTCCAGTGTACTGACAATGTTCACATCTTTTTCCCTTATTGTTTTGATTTCCTTGATTATAATTGTTCCCTCTGTTAACATTCATAGCTACTACATCAGAAACCTTATTAGCAATGGACACACAAGCAGTTTGTTGTTGTAGTTCATCCTCTATAATCATAGCATATGCTTGATTAATGGTAGGAGTAACACCTTTTAGCAGAATTTGTCTCTTAGCCTGTTCATACGATTCATTCAAACCACTAAGAAACTGAATCAATCTGAGCTGATACAGATGATCAGCATACTCTTTGGATTTTGGACAAGCACAACTAGGAGAGGGTACAAATGCATCATATTCCCCCCACAAGTTTTTCAATCTGGTGTAATATGATGAAACAGAATCAGTGCCTTGTGAGAGTGTGTTAATCTCTCTGTGTAATTGATAAATTCTCATTCGATTTCCTTTATCAAAACCTCTCCTTCAAGTCTTGCCAAACTGTATAAGCACTAGTAGCATACACTATTCCATTTAATAGATCTTCACTAACTGAATTCATCAACCAAGATAATACGATTGCATTACATGTCTCCCACTGCTCATGTAACTCATCTCTATACAAAGTCCTGCTGCAAGCTCCTGTAACAAATCCAATTTTCCTCTTTCCTGTCAAAGCAATTCTCATTGATCTACTCCATACTACATAGTTTTCAGGCCCTGTGAGTTTGATAGGAATCAAAACTGCACTTGAAGCATTTGATGGTCCTATGTAAAGAGGATTGTTTGGATCAATTCTTCCTATAGCCATTGTTGTTTTCTTTGCAGCCTACACGATTATGATCTACTGTGGCTCTGATACCATGTAAAAACTCTATCTAGAAGCATGTAAAAGCTCCATTGATGATTCTGGGAACAAGCAGAATTGAAGAGAAAACAGAATTGAAGAAGAAGAAGTAGTGTTATTCACTTCCTCACACTTTACAGATGCTACATATATATACAAATGTGCAGTAACAAACTTCACACCTTCCACTTACACATTCCACTCATACGCACACACACTAACTAATGGAATCTAATCCTAACTAACCACGTGAACCTGCTAACTAACTAACTGCATTAACTGAAAATGGGAAAGTTAACACACTCTATATATTTCTATTCACCTTATATTATAATAAGAATCGTTGTATCACAATATGTCTTTGTATACATATTTTTTTATTTTTATGATATCCATATTAGAGTATGACTAAATTCGAAGTTATGTATTATATAAATCAGACGAGCATAACTTATAGGTGAAAGGTGATAATATATATACCTCTTAACTTTACAATTTAGAGTTAATATATAGTACTCCAAATTAGAAGTGACTCACTTATATTTTATTGTTATAAAAAATAATAATTGGTTTTTATATATAGAAAAAATAGTTTTATATTTCTTATTTTTGTTCTTAATATGATGATAATTTGCCACATGAATATCTTTATATTCTTTAAATTATTATATATTTCAAAGTCTTTTTTTCTTCCTTTTTTTTTTCATTTTATGCCCGGTCAAATATTGTTATTTATATTAAAGTTAAATAGGTTAGAAACAAGGAGATGATCTAAATTCCTAATTAGTCGTAACCCATTAGATAGGTTAGTGACCAATACCTAAACATAGGAATTTAACAAACATTCCTAACATTAAACACATAAAATTATTTGAATTAAATTCTCAAGTTAGTTAAATTAGTTAGACATATAGTTTTAGTTAAACATGGTTTATCAGTGACGTATGCAGAATTTTTATTTTAAATAATTTGACGTCAATGTTAGAAGAAGCAAGCAAACAAATGTATTACTAAATAACATCATATTATAATAAGCATAATTCAATACGATATTACGACTCTGAAGAAGAGATAAGAGTAACAAGTAATAAATGGCTAACCCGTTAGGGTGACTGAGTTGGTGCAACAGGTGATATGTCATGAAGGATGTCAGCAAATCGATTTCCCTTGCCAAAATTTTCTTGATAGAGTTTGTTGCATTAGACTTACATGCCTAGAATGATTTACATCTCTGCTATGATTTGTGAGTTATTGTACATAAAAAGGCTAAAAAGGGAGGGAAGAGGAGTTAAATCCAACATCAAAACAGAGGCGTTGATATGATATACTGAAAAAACATAAACTAACAATAAATTATTACACTTCAATCCCAAATAAGATAAGACTCGACTATGTGAACATTAGTTGACCATGATACTCCAATTTAATATTCTCCAATCGTAAATAAGTTAGGGTCGCTCAACTATGTTGCTCCATTTAAATTCATCTCGATTTTAGGATATCAGAGATATGAAGAGAAAAAAAGATTAAATGTTAGTCATTTTCTTGGAGAGACCACAAAAGAATGATACATTACACTCAAAGTTCTAATTTAGGCACAATTTTGCCAATTGTAAGACTATCCTTATTTATTTTAGTTACTTAATCGAAATTGTGACTGCTTTTAAGGCTAATACAGGCGGTGGGTGCTCAATACCGGCGTGATCTTTAAATATCATTTAGTTACTATGATATCCAAAATGATCATTTAAACAACTGGAAAAAATATGTTTCACGTCAATGTAAGATGTCCATGAAACATAATAGGAACGAGTTAAAAGTATTTTGTTATCAGTTGAGAGTTCAGACCAAGTAAGGTGCCTAGATGTGCATTCTCAGAGTTGGAGTATTTACTTATAGCTAAGAACCTGAGGCCAAGTTTATGCATCATGTTTATATATTATGTCTTAAATTTATTATTTCTTGCTTGATTAAAAAAGCACCAATTAGTATTGTTCATTTGATTAATGTTTTCTTAAATTTGCTGATCTATTAATTGACAGCTGTAAAGATGCTTGTTTTATTCAATCAGAACAAATAAAAAATAATTGGTGCTTAAAAGGGATTGGAAATTCATTATTATATACCTACAGGCATAGTTATCCAGATCTGATTTCATACACAAAACTAGCATTGACTTAGTTTTTTTTCAGTAAGCAAATAATTTATTCATAAACAGTAACATGGTGTTGGAAATTATAATTAAAGAGTGTTACTAGGGTATCAAAATGTGCAGGTTTGAACGGAATTTGAAAATGTCAAAACAAGTTGAGTTAATAAATGAGCAGATCATTTGTTCCGCTAATTATATGTTGTTTGGGCTGAAAGTTTTTGAGGTTAAATTAGGCCCAAGTGTCATATCTTTACATAATAATGAGCAGGTCATTTGTCTCGTTTGTATGATTTGGGCTAAAATGAGATAAAAATCGAGTCACAACCCAACCTATCTAATTATTAGTAAATTTTGTATTTTAAAGTATTTTCTTAGCACCAAAAATTTTTTCTTTCCTTGCAAACATAGCTTGTTCATCTTCAAACTTCTCACTTACAATATTTTGATTTAATCTTGCATACTTGATGGCAGCTTACAGTGCTGTAATTTCTCTTATTCGAACTCTTGATGAACGAAATATTCATGAACTCTTTCATGGTCACACTGCTGAAGCACTCGATTCTCTTCGTGCTATTGCTGAATATTTCGAAAAAGTTCTTGATGAATTTGAACCTGGAAAAATAAAATCTTTGGAGGAAAAAATCAGAGATGCTGCTAGTGAGGCAGAAGACGTTGTTGAGCTGAAAACTCATCAAATCATCGAAGGGACAAGCTGGACTTTTGGAATTTTACAACACCAGGATTTGCTACCAGTTTTTGAAAAAATGGATACAATAAAGAAACAAGTGATGGAGATTGTTTCTCATGATGCTGATCAAATTCTTGAATTATCCGGCGATTCCATGATTGACACTTCTTCTAAAAGTTATGCATTGCTGTCAGATAAGTTGGAAGATGATATCGTGCGGGGAATTGATGATGACTTGCAGATCATAATTAAAAGACTGACAGGACCACCATCAGATCTAGACATTGTCACAATATCAGGCATGGGTGGCATTGGCAAAACAACACTCGCTAGAAAAGCTTACGATCATCTCACAATCAGGTATCACTTTGACATTCTTGCTTGGGTTACAATATCTCAAGAATTTCAATGTAGAAATGTATTGCTAGAAGCTTTACATTGCATTTCAAAGAAAACAGATATTGTGAACGCAAAAGACTATGATAAGATGGATGAGAATGAGTTAGCTGACCTGGTGCAAAAGAACCTTAAGGGTCGAAGATACCTTGTTGTTGTTGATGATATTTGGAGTAGGGATGTTTGGGATAGTATAAGAGGAATATTTTCTAATTACAACAATGGAAGTCGAATCTTAATGACTACTAGGGAAAATGAGGTAGCAATGTATGCAAATACTTGTAGCCCTCATGAGATGAGCCTTTTGAGTGCAGGAAATGGTTGGAAGTTAGTTTGTGATACGGTGTTTGGACCAAAACATGATCATCCTCCCGAATTGGAAGAAATTGGAAAGGAAATAGTAGAAAAATGCCAAGGACTACCCTTAACAATTTCAGTGATTGCAGGACATCTCTGTAAAGTGGCCAGGACATTAGAAGGTTGGAAGGATGTTGCCCGAACCTTAAGTGAAATCATTGCTAGTCATCCAGATGAATGCTTAGCAGTGCTCGGTTTGAGTTATCACCACTTGCCTAATCACCTCAAACCTTGCTTTCTATCTATGAGTAGTTTCCAAGAGGATTTTCATTTTGAGACTCAGATATTGATACAATTATGGATTGCAGAAGGTTTCATAAGGACTTGTGAAAATGGTAAAAGTTTGGAGGAAGTGGCAATAGATTATTTGGAGGACCTTATTAGCAGGAACTTGTTACAGGCTAGAGAAAGGAGATTCAATGGTGAGATAAAAACATGCGGAATACATGATCTACTGCGTGAGTTCTGTTTGACAGAAGCTGAAATGACAAAGCATATGCATGTTGAGAGAACTTACCCTACTCTTCCAACACAAATGCATAATGTTCGTCGCTTCAGTTTTCAAACTGAATATTATTCCGTTGATGATTGTTATAAGCTATTACCTCCTGCTTCTAGATCTATCTACTTATTTTCTCGATTGGATCTACCTGCTTTACCCCGTATTAAGCTTCACAGGAGATTACCGATCTATTATCATGATCCTATAATATATGAATTTTTCTCTCATTTCAACCTTCTCAGGGTGTTGTCCATGAACAATAATTATCTTTATTTCGAATCATTTCCGCTTGTGATTACAAAGTTGTTTCATTTGAGATATCTCCAAGTTAGATTTAATGGCAATATTCCTGAATCAATTTCAGAGCTTCAGAATTTGCAAACTCTAATTTTTAGAGGTAATAATAGTTACATGTACAGTATGACTTTTCCTGTAACGATATGGATGATGAAGAACTTGAGGTATATACATCTAGATACATCCACTTATTTACCAAGTCCTGGAACACAAAGTCTTGTGACAGGGATGCCAAATCTACAGGAATTTTCTGGTCATTTTAAAGACGAAGTCTTTTCTGGCATTCCCAATATAAAGAGATTGATCTTTCGCTTACCTTATTTCCGAAAAAGTATTCTCGATCAGCTCCAATTGGATATGTCTAGATTGACAAAACTCGAAGCATTCAAGTTCTATGGTTCAAGTTTTTATCGATGTTCCTTAAAGAGATTTCGTTTTCCAACATCACTTAGGAGGTTGTCTTTAACTCGGTGTAGTGATTTTTTATGGACAGACGTATCTTCAACTGTTTTGATGTTGCCAAATCTTGAAGAGCTCAAACTTAAAAATTGTCAAACCTTGATTGATGAATGGAGATTGAGTGACGAAGACAAGTTCAAAAGCTTGAAGTTGTTGTTACTGAGTGGCTCAAGTCTTAAGCGTTGGGAAGCTAACAGTGATAACTTTCCAAATCTAAAACGCCTTGTTCTGAAGAATTGCTACAGGCTGCAAGAAATTCCAGCAGATTTTGGCGAAATCGGTACTTTGGAGTCAATTGAGTTACACAATTGCAGCACTACTGCTGATGATTCTGCAAGAGAGATTGTACAAGAACAAGAGGACATGGGGAATTATTTCCTTAAGATTTACATCCATAACATTCGCGGTTAGTTCTTCAGTTCGCTCATCTTTATTTAAATCTTACCTCCTTGAAATGAAGATGAAGCTTATTTCGTGGGATCATGTAATGCTATCTTCCAAATGCAGATCAATCTTTTAGTTTATATTTTGAAAAGTAAATTTTTTCGTTTTTATGTTCTGATCGTTTGTTAAATTCATTTTTAGGAATAAGCATGTTTAATACATTTCTGATTCATATTTTGTAAAACAATATTTATTGATGTACTAATATCTATCTTGTGTTATGTGATTATTCGAAATGGAACAAGGTTTTCCACCTATTATGCATAGCATATGGAGTATAAGAATCGTTGGTTTCACTCTGTTTTCCTCTATTCAAGTACTATACATGTTTTACACTTGATACCAATCAAATGACTATATAAATATGTTGCTTAATTTGGATTTAATTGACGTCTATGTACTCCAAATTTGAATTTTCACAAGTAAATACTTAAATTTGTTGAAAATTAAAAAATAAACATATGCATCCTACGTCGCATAATACACATGTATATGTGAGTATTTTTGTAAAGGTCGGAGTATATGTGAGTCATTTTTGTAACGAGAGTATATCAACTCTAAATAATAAAGTTGACAGATTTATGACTACTTTAGCCAATTATAATATTGGCATAATACATAAATATATCCTTTAACTTGACTTCAAGTTACATTTATGCCCTTACTTAAACTTGTATAAAGTTGCACAAATAGACACACATGTCCTACATGTCATCCTATATGTCATTTTTTGTGTTTGTGTCGTGTAGGACTCATGTGTTTATTTATCTAAAAGTTTAATAGTTAAAGTTTCTATTTGTGCATTACGAAAGTTAGAGATCAAAGTTAAAATTTGAAGCCAAGTTTAAGATCCAATATATGTATTATGTCTATAATATTTACTGCTTATTACTATTTTTTCTATAAAGACTAACATGGTGCTGGAAATTAAATTAAATACAACAAGTAACTGAAGTTCATCATTCTCTCAATCGCCCCGATCGTTGAACGTTAGACGCGCTTAAAGCCCATAAAAGTTGAGCCTCGAGATGTTTCGCGAGTCCAGAAAATACCTTTTAGAACACTAACAATCAACCTATGTGCTATCAATTAATTGTCAACTGTAAAGATGCTTGTTTTCTCCAATCACAACAAAATAAAAAAATTGTGTTTTAAAAGTTATGGGAAATAAATGTTACAGATCTGATTTCACACACACAACTGGCATTGACTTAGTTTTTTTAGTAAGTCAACTAATTTATCCATAAACACTAACATGGTATTGGAAATTAAATTAATTAAAGAGTGTTATTAGGGATGGGCTGAATTTGAGGATGTCAAAACAAGTTGAGTTAATAAATGGATAGGTCATTGGCCCAATTATATGTTATTGGGGCTGTCCAAATTCGAAAATTTTATATTAAAAAATTACTCTCCTTGCAAACAGAGCTCGTTTATCTTCAAACTTTCCATTTTTACAATAATCTTGAATACTTGATGGCAGCTTATAGTGCTGTAATTTCTCTTCTTCGAACTCTTGACGAACGAAATATTCATGAACTCTTTCATGATCACACTGCTGAAGCACTCGATTCTCTTCGTGCAATTACTGGATATTTCCAAAAAGTTCTTGATGAATTTGAACCTGGAAAAATCAAATCTTTTGAGGAAAAAATTAGAGTTGCTGCAAGTGAGGCAGAAGATGTTGTTGAGCTGAAAACTCGTCAAATCATCAAAGGCTCAAGTTGGACATTTGGAATTTTACAACACCAGGATTTGCTACCAGTTGTTGAAAAAATGGATACGATAAAGAAACAAGTGATGGAGACTGTTTCACATGATGCTGATCAAGTTCATGAATTAGTTGGGGATTCCTTGATTGACACTTCTTCTACAATTAATCCAATGCGGTCAGATAAATCGGAAGATGATATCGTGCAGGGAATTGATGATGACTTGGAGATCATAGTTAAAAGATTGATAGGACCACCGTCTGATCTAGAGATTGTCACAATAACAGGCATGGGTGGCATTGGCAAAACAACACTCGCTAGAAAAGCTTATGATCATCTCCAAATCAGGTATCACTTTGACATTCTTGCTTGGGTAACAATAACACAAGAATTTCGGAATAGAAATGTCTTGTTAGAAGCTTTACGTTGCATTTTAAAGTCAACAGATAGTTTTAATGCTAAAGATTATGATGATAATGAGTTAGCTGACCTAGTGCAAAAAAAACTAAAGGGTCGAAGATACCTTGTTGTTGTTGATGATATTTGGACTAAAAATGTTTGGGATAGCATAAGAGGAATATTTCCAAATTACAAAAATGGGAGTCGAATCTTATTGACTACTAGGGAAACTGAGGTAGCGATGTATGCAAGTACTTGTAGTCCTCATGAGATGATCCATTTGAGTTTAGAAAATGGTTGGAGGTTACTTTGTGATAAGGTGTTTGGACAAAAATATGAACATCCTCCTGAATTGGATGAAATTGGAAAGGAAATAGTAGAAAAATGTCAAGGACTACCCTTAACAATTTCAGTGATTGCGGGACATCTCTCTAAAGTGGCCAACACATTAGAAGGTTGGAAGGATGTTGCCCGAAACTTAAGTGAAATCATTGCTAGTCATCCAAATCAATGCTTAGGAGTGCTCGGTTTGAGTTACTACCACTTGCCTAATCGCCTCAAGCCTTGCTTTCTTTCTATGAGTAGTTTCCCGGAGGACTTTCAGGTTGATACTCGGAGATTGATCCAATTATGGATTGCAGAAGGTTTCATAAGGACATCCGCTGGAAGTCGTAAAAGCTTGGAGGAAGTGGCAGAACATTATTTGGAAGACCTTATTAGCAGGAACTTGATACAAGCTAGAAAAAGAAGATTCAGTGGTGAGATAAAAGCATGTGGAATACATGATATACTGCGCGAGTTCTGTTTGATTGAAGCTGAAATGACAAATCATATGCATGTTGAGAGAACTCACCTTACTCTTCCAACCCAAAAGAATAATGTTTGTCGCTTCAGTTTTCAAACCGAATCTTATTCAGTTGATGATTGTTATAAGCTAATACCCCCTGTTTCCAGATCTATCTACTTATTTTCGCGATTGAATCTACCTCTTCAACCCTGTATTAGGCTTCACAGGAGATTGCCCATCTACCGTCATGATCCAATAATACATGAATTTTTCTCTCGTTTCAACCTTCTAAGGGTATTGTCCATCTTCAATACAAATGGATATTTCAAGTCATTTCCACTTGTGATTACAAAATTGTTTCATTTGAAATATCTCCAAGTTCGATTTGATGGAGATATTCCTAACTCAATCTCAGATCTTCAGGATTTGCAAACTCTAATTTGTAGTAATTATTCTTTCTATGTAAATTTACCTAGGGAGATATGGATGATGAAGAACTTGAGGTATATATGTATGGGGGGAGTCACTTATTTACCCAGCCCTAGAAGAGGAAGTCTTGTGACACGGATGCCAAATCTTGAGGAACTTTCTGGTGTTTGTTTTACAAGTTGTACAAATGAAGTCTTTTCTGGCATTCCCAATATAAAGAGATTGATCATTCATGTACCTTATTTCAGAAAACAATTCCCCCATCGGAAATTGGATATGTCCAGATTGACAAAACTCGTAGCATTCAAGTTTAAAGGGTCAACTCTTTTTCAATACACCATCAAGGGATTTGGTTTTCCAACATCACTTAGGAGGTTGTCTTTAACTTTGTGTAGTTTTGTTTGGGCAGACATATCACCAATTGTTATGATGTTGCCAAATCTTGAAGAGCTCAAACTTAAACATTGTCAAACCTTGAGTGATGAACAATGTGATGAATGGAGTGATAATTGGGGTTATAATTGGAGATGGACTGATAAATGGAGTGATGACTGGAGATTGAGTGATGAAGGCAAGTTTAAAAGCTTGAAGTTGTTGCAATTGAGTGGCTCAACTCTTACTCATTGGGACGCTAGCAGTGATAACTTCCCAAATCTAAAATGCATTGTTCTGAAGGAATGCCACTGGTTGCGAGAAATTCCAGCAGATTTTTGGGAAATTTCTACATTGGAATTAATTGAGTTACATGATTGCTGCACTAGTGCTGAGGACTCTGCAAAAAATATTGCACAAGAACATGAAGATAACATGGGAAATAATTTCCTTAAGGTCGACATCTATAATTACAGTAAGTTGTAATCAGTTCTTCGATTCTCGATCTCATCTTTCTTAAATTTTACCTCCTCCTAATTAAGATGATAACTTCTACATTTTATCTTGCATATGCAGGGAACTAAAGCTTATTTTTAGGACCATCTATGTTATTTTGGAGCTGATATGAAACTTTGATGATTTAACAAACTTCGGGTTCTAACAAAGGACCTGGTCGATGAGAGATTGTGTATGTGAAAAAAAACAGAAACACAGTTGTCTAAAAGCTGCCACAACTGCCAACTCTGTTGTGACTGGTGCATGTCTTTTCATAGCAGCAGGCTCAGCCAATGGCTCGGTCCCAAGGGTTTGTGTCCAATTTATATTAGTCTCTTCTCTGACCAAGGGTAGGTCCGCCACTGGATGTGTGGGTGCAGCAGAGTTGCTGCAATTTGTTCTTCTCTTATCTTTGAGAACTGTAGTTGGTGGCTAGAGCTAGCCTTGTTGGGTTCTTAAAGTCTAGATCAACTAGAGTTAGTTGGTTTAGTGGGCAATAAAGTTATTGCTTAGTTTCTATTGTAGTAGAGTTGCTACAGTAAGGGGGAAAGAATTAAGAGTTTAAATCCTAGGTTGCAAGAGTTTGTAATCTGAAGTTTTGCTCCGTTTTGAGTGAAATGGAGTTTGAGTTGAATTCTTGTGAGTACAGGGTCGTGATTTTCATCTTCCTTGAGCAAGGAGTTTTCCACGTTAAATCTTTGTGCTTGATTTACTTTGAGTTATTTATTTTCTGCATTATTATTCTGTTGGAGGACCTGGTGCAGTGATAACTCGTGGACGCATACATTCTAACAATCTAATGCCCTCATCCAAATGCAGAACGTTATAGTTTTATATTTTGAAAAGTAAAATCCTCTGTTTCATGTTCTGAACGTTTATAAAAATTCATGTTTTAGGAATAAATAAATATGGGCTGTTCCTCAATTGAAAAATTGTAAACAGTAAAGATGGGTTTTTCCTACAATCATAACAAATAAACACCCAACTAACATGATTAATTAAAGGATGCTATACAACAAGTTGCTATAAAAACAAATGATTATTTGTAATCTTTTATTCTTTCACTCTACTTCTTCAATAATTATTTTGTTCCAATTTCTCTTCTTGCAATTTGATCTGATGGCAGCTTATAGTGCTGTAGTTTCTCTTCTTCAAACACTTCATAAACGAAATGCACAACTCTTTCATGGTCATACGGCTAAAATGCTCGATTCTCTTTATGCTATGGCTGAATATTTGCAAAAAGTTCTTGAAAATGCTAGCAAGAGTAGATCGATTTGACACTGAAAAGATCAAATCTTTGGAGGAAAAAATAAGAGTTGCAGGTAGTTATGCAGAGGATATTATTGAGCAGAAAAATTCTCGAATCATGAAAGTCTCAAGGTGGACATTTGGAATTTTAATACACCATGATCTGCTAAAAGTTGTTAAAAAAAATGGATACAACAAAGAAACAAGTGATGGAGATTGTTTCTCACGAAGCCGACCGAATTCTTGAAATATCTGGAGATTCCTTGATTGCCACTTCTTCTACAAGTTATCCAATGTTGACAGACCAGTTGGAAAATGATACTGTGCAGGGACTTGATGATGACTTGCAGATCATAATTAAAAGATTGACAGGACCACCGTCGGATCTAGACGTTGTCTCAGTATCAGGCATGGGTGGCATTGGCAAAACAAAACTCGCTAGAAAAGCTTATGATCATCTCACAATCAGGTATCACTTGGACATTCTTGCTTGGGTTACAATATCTCAAGAATTTCAATATAGAAATGTATTGTTTGAGGCTTTACATTGCATTTCAAAGAAAACAGATATTGTGAATGCAAAAAATTATGATAAAATGGATGACAATGAGTTAGCTGACCTGGTGCAAAAGAACCTATAGGGTCCAAGATACCTTGTTGTTGTTGATATTTTATTGACTACTAGGTGTATCTCAAAACAGCGGTGGTCAATCTTTAACAATGAAGTAGTAACGTGTTAGACACAATTCTTGAATTTGAGTATAGATTCATAGCTGTTTGTTGTTGGTTTCCTCATATGATAGCGCTACTGTTTCCTCTAATGATTTACTGTTTCTTATTTATTCTTTTGCAAAATGTGAGGTTAATTTTGAACTTTAAATAATCTACATGCTCTCCAAGTGCTAATCTCTCATTTTTGTTATCATTGCATGTGATACCAATTCGAGTTAACTTTGGACTCTACTCTTGCATATCCTTGAGTCGTCTCGAGTCATCCTTATATTTGCAGCGAGAGAGAAGCTAAAACAGGCCCCAGAAAGCCCAAAAACAGGCTGATATACCTGTTGTATACAGAGATATACAGTCTGAAATATAATGGTATACAAAGTTTGAAGTCCAAATTGCAGGCTGAAATATGCAAAAAATAGTGAAAATTACACGAGTGAAGGTCTTTTATTTAATAATTACCACTTTTAAGTATACTTTTTATTTATTACCATTTGTGTCAACTTTTAGAAATACTTATTTAAAACAATTTTAATACATGTTTAATACACTACTAATTCATAATGCAAGCGTCAGTTTATAATTTTTCTTAAAACTTATATGTCATACAAATAAATTATAACTATTTTGTAATACACATTTAATACTTTTTTTTTAATAACTTGGGCTTTTATTGAGTGAGATCAGACATGATGAAAGAGATGATGAGCGAGGCATGTTTGAGGATTGATTTATGAAGGGTAATAGCAATGGTAATCAGTCAATTTAGGCGTGTTGGGGAAGATGGCGTGTATTGAGGAAGATGTCGTGTATTGATTGAGTAGTTATTGGACAACGATAAAGTAGGAATTTAATTAAAAGCAAATCCTTATTATTTAGTTTTTGTTTTAAAAAAGGTAACTATATAATGTGAAATTTAATTAATAATAATTTATTATTTATTTTAAAAACCGTAAAAATCATTAATCAGTAAAATTTGGTAACTGAAAAAATAAAAGTAAATATTTAAACATATTAATTATTATTATTATTTAAGTTATTTCTAGTTTATTTTAAAAAAGTATGGCTATATAAAATTTCTACCCACCTAACCTCTCTCCTTCTAATTCATTTGTAATTATGTATTATATATATTACGGGTGTTTATATCGACGTACTATTTAAGATCTTGAATTGCATCCTCTCCACTCCTTCAAAATTAATTTTGACTTTTAATGGCAGCGTATAGTGCTGTAATTTCTCTTCTTCAAACTCTTGAGCAGAGAACCCCAGAACTAATGATTCGAGATCAAACCCTCGAATCTATTCATGCTACTGCTCACTATTTTCATGATGTTCTTGAAAATATTAGAAGATTTGACCATGAAAAGATCAAAACTTTGGAGGAAAAAATTAGAGTTGCTGCTAGTGGCGCAGAAGATGTTGTTGAGTTGAAAATTTCTCAAGGTTCAAACTGGACATTTGAGAATTTGATACAAGTGGCTGAAAAAATGAATACAACTAAGCAACAAGTGATGGATATTGTTTCACATGATGTTCATCAAATTCTGGAATTATCCGTGGATTCCTTGATTAGCACTCCTTCAACAAGTTATCCAATATTGTCAGACTCAGATCAGTTGGGTCTTGAGGATGACTTGAAGATAATAATTAAAAGATTGACAGGACCACCATCGGATATAGACATTGTCACTATAACAGGTATGGGTGGCATTGGCAAAACAACGCTCGCTAAAAAAGCTTATGATCATCTAACAATCAGGTATCACTTTGACGTTTTTGCTTGGCTTACAATATCTCAAGAATTTCGCTGTAGAAATGTATTGTTAGAAGCTTTACATTGTATCTTAGGGAAACCAGATTCCTTTGACTCATATCCTTATGATGAGAATGAGTTAGCTGACCTAGTGCAAAAACAACTAAAGGGTCGAAGATACCTTGTCGTTGTTGATGATATTTGGAGTTCAGATGTCTGGGATAGTATAAGAGGAATATTTCCTAATTACAACAATGGAAGTCGAATCTTATTGACTACTAGGGAAAATGAGGTAGCGATGTATGCAAATAGTTGTAGCCCTCATGAGATGAGCCTTTTGAGTGCAGAAAATGGTTGGAAGTTACTTTGTGATAAGGTGTTTGGACCAAATAATGATCATCCTCCTGAATTGGAAGAAATTGGAAAGGAAATAGTAGAAAAATGTCAAGGACTACCCTTAACAATTTCAGTGATTGCGGGACATCTCTCTAAAGTGGTCAGGACATTAGAAAGTTGGAAGGATGTTGCCCGAACCTTAAGTAAAATCATTGCTAGTCATCCAGACAAATGCTTAGCAGTGCTCGGTTTGAGTTACCACCACTTGCCTAGTCGGCTCAAACCCTGCTTCCTATCTATGAGTAGTTTCCCAGAGGATTTTCGTTTTGAGACCAATTATGGATCGCAGAAGGTTTCATAAGGACTTGTGAAAATGGTAAAAGTTTGGAGGAAGTGGCAATATATTATTTGGAGGACCTTATTAGCAGGAACTTGTTACAGGCTAGAAAAAGGAGATTCAATGGTGAGATAAAAACATGTGGAATACACGATCTATTGCGTGAGTTCTGTTTGACAGAAGCTGAAATGACAAAGCATATGCATGTTGAGAGAACTCACCCTACTCTTCCAACACAAAAGCATAATGTTCGTCGATTCAGTTTTCAAACTGAATATTATTCAGTTGATGATTGTTATAAGCTATTACCCCCGGTTTCCAGATCTATCTACTTATTTTCTAAATTGAATCTACCTATTGTACCCAGTACTGAGTCTCACTTGTCATCGCCCATCTACCGCCATGATCCTATAATACATGAACTTTTCTCCCATTTCAACCTTCTCAGGGTGTTGTCCATGAACAATAAAGGTGTACCCTTCGAGTCATTTCCACTTGTGATTACAGAGTTGTTTCATTTGAGATATCTTCAAGTTCATTTTGAAGGAGATATTCCTGAATCAATCTCAGAGCTTCAGAATTTGCAAACTCTAATTTCGAGTGGTACTTTTCCTTTCGATATGACTTTACCTATGAAGATATGGATGATGAAGAACTTGAGGTATATACGTCTGGATCGTCCCACTTATTTACCAAGTCCTGGAACACAAAGTCTTGTGACAGGGATGCCAAATCTACAGGAATTTTCTGGTCATTTTACAGATGAAGTCTTTTCTGGCATTCCCAATCTAAAGAGATTGATCTTTCATCTACCTAATAATAAAAGGAGTTATAGATGTTGGCAATTGGATATATCCAGATTGACAAAACTCGAATCATTCAAGTATTATGGGACATTTTTAACGGCGTACCGTGTCAAGAGATTTTATTTTCCAGCATCACTTAGGAGGTTGTCTTTAACTCAGTGTAATGAATTTTTTGAGACAAACATATCTTCAACTGTTGTGATGTTGCCAAATCTTGAAGAGCTCAAACTTAAACAATGTGGAGACATGTTAAAGACATGGAGATTGAGTGACGAAGACAAGTTCAAAAGCTTGAAGTTGTTGTTACTGAGTGGCTCAAGTCTTAAGCATTGGGAAGCTACCAGTGATAACTTTCCAAATCTAAAACGCCTTGTTCTGAAGAATTGCTACAGGCTGCAAGAAATTCCAGCAGATTTTGGCGAAATCGGTACTTTGGAGTCAATTGAGTTACACAATTGCAGCACTACTGCTGATGATTCTGCAAGAGAGATTGTACAAGAACAAGAGGAAATGGGGAATTATTTCCTTAAGGTCTACATCCATAAAAGTCGGAGTAAGTTCTTCGATTCTCTCATCTTTGTTATTATATCTACATCCTTCAAATAATTAAGATGGTGATTTCGACATTTTATCTTTTGCATATACAGGGAAATGAAGCTTATTTCAAGGGACCATCTAATGCCATCTTCCAAATGAACAACCTTTCATTTATAACTTGAAAAGTAAAATCTTTCGGGTTTTTTTCCTGTTCTGATCATTCGTGAAATTCATGTTTAAGGAATAAGCATATTTAATACATTTGTGATTTTGGTATTTTGTAAACTGTATATATTGATGTACTGTAATATGTATTCCGTGTTATGTGATTATTCGGAATAGACATTTTTTTCAATATATTATGCATTGCCTACGGCGTGTAAGAATCGTTGATTTCACACTTTGAATCTGTTTTCCTCTGTTCATTTACAATACGTGTTTCTCATTGAATTACATAACTGTGACACTACTGTTGAGGATTCTACACGACATATTGAACAAGAACAAGAGGCTGAGTAGAAATTCAATTGTTTGCGGCAATATATATTGTCACTAAATATCTCTTTGGTTGTAGTGATTTGACATACCACATTTCATTGGTATCCTAATAATAGTCACGTCCTCATTGTCTGCGACCACGATCTTTGAATGATCCACAATGTTTATGATCATTTTTTAAGTTGTTAAAATAGCTTCTTCCTCTTACACAACTTCCACAACAATATTTTCCTTTTACATTTCCTCTATAAGTACTCTTTTCCTTCCATAATCATTCAATTGTGCTTGATTTTAATTAAAAACCTTCCAATTGCTCAATCGTCATAGAGTTTAGACATTTAGATTCTCAATAGCACACACTACATAATCAAACATCAGTGTTAAAGGGCAAAGGATCTTTTCTACCACACACATCGTCTACTTTCTCCCCCTACCTTTTTATTTGATTCACACGGAAATTAGAAATGAATTCGGATTCTTTCAATATTTTTAAAAATTCAAAATAATCATTCTATCAAGCTCCTTGGAGAAAATTTTGTAGAATCTGACTAGAACAATAGAGTAACAACAATACCAAATATCTTTTAACGGAGTAAAAAGTGTTACAACTTGATAGTGTCATGAAGAGACTACTACCACACCTTCAAAACAAGCTAACACTCTTTTATTTCACACAACTCACCACGATATTACTCTGGCTGTGAGTACGATTGATTTAGCTAGTTGGAGAGGCAAATCGTAAGAGCTCTTCATCCCTCTCAAAAGCTAACATGTCTTGTTTCTTCATGCTACATGTTAGATTCACTCCATCTCTATTTTTATCAGCCATCAAAAAAAACATGTTTTTAATTGGTGGATTACTTGTTGAAATTGGTGAAATAACTTTTTCAGGCTTTCCCCATCCAAAGTCTACCTCATATGAGGGGAATGTGATGAGGCTACTAAACCTATAGAGATCATAACATGAATTGTTGACTAACAAATCATTTGCTTTTCTATGTTGTTCAAGTGTTATAGGAAGTAGTTCTTCTATTTTAGCATTTTTGTATTTTTGTTTGACTTCTTCCTTCTCCTTTCTTAGTTTACTAACAACTCGTGCTAAATCCATTTCTTTCTCTTCTTTTGTTAGTATAGAAAATAGAGAACAAATGTTTCCCATAGTGTGTTTGGGCAATGGAGGGCGTAAGTTTACAGCCTGATGAAGTAAAGATGGACGAATGGAGTCTGAATTTACCAACTTTTTTGTAGCCATGGCGCGTTGGTAAAGGAATGCAGACACAACTTCTGTATCACTTGGATTTTGTACTTCTGAATCATTAATAACCCTAGCTTTCAGCGCGGTTAATTTGGATGATGAAATAGAAAAACCTTTGGACACACATTCTTCTCTTTGTGGCACGATATTGTTGTTAGATACGTTTGATGAGTCCTCATCTTTCGCAGGTGGAAAATAAAAGGATCCATCAAACTTAGGACTTATCGGATATATTTCTGAACTTAATGGATTACGCGCTATAGTAGCCCAATGGTTCATGAAGTTGCCAAACGTGTATCCATCCCCAACCTTGTGTGACAAACACATACTGATCGCGATTCCTCCACAATTAAAGTGAGTGAGTTGAAATACTGCAAGACTACCCTCGTATGTATACTGATTATTAATAACTTCTGTTGGATAGACCAAATTATGTTTTTCAAAATAGGGGTGGTTGAAAATTTCAGACATTGGACAATTTATTTCTGTAACGAAGAATTCAACTCCATTATCGTTACAATCAATAGAAATATTGTCATTCAATTTCCCTGCAAATGGATAGTAATTGGTCAAAACTTTTGAAAGGGATTTTTCAAGATGTTGAGATACAACATTATTTGGTTTATTGGACCATGTGTTGCTCAATTTAGGGTAAAAAAGGGCCAATGGAATATAAATGCCACCAACCATTTGATCAAGATAGGAGAGTTTGGGACAACGAAGTGAAATTGGAGTAGGTGAATATGGTTTGATTATTTTTTTACAAACTGAGGATACAAGTCTTGATACACTACTACTCATATTTTGTTTGATACAAATTTTGTTTGAAATATTCAAGAAAATTATGTAGTGTGTATTTTGTACATTAACTAATATACTACTTTATATTTATATATATATGTAGATGAATATTAAAGAAAACTATTTTATAAGCAATAAATTATTTAGACTAACCTATTAAAGGGTCTACATTGTTAGCTTTTAGGAGTTGTCAATATAAATAGTGTACTCTAGACAAATTAACACTACATAGGTGACAATTTACAAACAAGTGGGGTAGTTACTTCTTTCGGTTTTAATTTATTTATCTTGTTTTATTTTTTAATATTTTCTTTTTTAAAAAAATCTATTTTCCTTTTTTATAATTATTCAATTTTAGTTTTTCACCAAATATATTTAAAATATCACAAAATTAAAAGATATTTTGATAAATTTAACATATCTTTAATTTATAATCACAGAATTAAAAAGTTCTTGATTGGGTTCATTTGGTTGCTAGGTAGAAAGTGAATTACGCAAATATTAAAATCAAATATAATTAATACCAGTTTTAGTAGAGCATTGTTTTTGTTGTTTTGTATAAATATTTGCTAAACACACTTTCTTCATCCTTGTATATAATAAAATTTATTAATTTAAACGGCTAACAAACATTTAGGTGATTAAAATATGTATGGGGTAAGCAGGATGCCAAACTGCTACCACACATTAATTAGATTTAAGTAATAATAATAAATTTCTTAAAGCTACACATTTTAGACAAGCCTAATTGATTTATGAGTAAATAAGCTGAATTAATAACAAATTGGTGGTGATTTTTCAAATGTGTAGTAGTTGAAATAATAAAATTAAAGTTGAAGTAGAATTATAAACTACTATATATAGTGAGAAATAAAATCATATATATTATTTTTATTTAATTAGCATCTATATTATTTCAAACATTTAAAAATGTTATCTCAATCGAATCCTTCAAAGATATTTGCACAACTAAAATAATGTTACTAAAATGATGTATGTCCTTCAAAATTGTTTTACGAAAAAGGGTTTAAAATATCTTCAAAGTATTGGAAATGGTATAAAAATACCTTCCATTCACCTATTGGCTCCAAAATGCCCTTCTCATCCCTCTATTGGCTCCAAAATACCTTGTCATGCATCCACCTTCGAGTTCAAAATTGACAACTTACTTAACAATTTTAAATTTAAACTATTTAAATATTTTTTCAAATACTTGGCGCTCAACTAAATAAACCCATTACCCACTCAATTAATGAAACAATTCTAATATAAAAATCGCCCTAAATACTACTAAAATACGACGAAATTACGGACTCCTGAAAATGACATTTAAAATTATTTGAGTCCGAATTGAAGTCCCAATTAAATTTAGGTTGAGCCGCTTATTTTGGAGGTCACTTTCACTAGAATTATGTTTGAAGCTTGAATTCGAATTTATGACTAAATATAAAAAGTAGTACATTCCGAATAATTTATGAACTTTTTTAAAATATAATTTTATAAATATTTATGATTTTTTTAAAATATTAAAACTTTAATATATTATTTTTTAAAAAAAGTTATCTATTAAGTAAAATCACATTATTGAGACGAATGGATAATTGAGGTAAGCATAGTCAGACTTTTAAGTTTATCGATAATTTTTATTTAGACTCTTCAATTATAATATGTTTTGAATGCGGACTTGAATGTATATATGATAATGTACTTCTATGGACATTTTTGTCTCAAATTTTTAGAAACACTCATTGACAGTAGCTTTCTTTTTGTTGCATTAATGATGGGGCGAGTTTATTAATTAATGGAGTTTAATTAGTAATGATTGGGTAGTGAATTTGTTTATAAATAATATTAATAAGTTAAATTACAACAAATAGTTGAGCTTCACATATTTTAAAAAATATTTAAATAGTTTAAATTTAAAACCGAAAATAAGTGGTCGATTTTAAACCTAAAGGTGGATGACAATGGTATTTTGAAGTCAATAGATGGTTGAGAAGAATATTTTGAAGTCAATAAGTGGATAGAGGATAATTTTGTACCATTTCTAATAATTCAAGGTATTTTAGGCCTTTTTTCCAATTGTTTTAGCCATAAAGGTCTTTTCTCTTCATTTTTCTTAGTGACCTTGCATTCTTAATAATGGATATGCTTTTTAGCTATAAAGGTTGCTTCATTTATTAGATTGCTTGCACAATATCCTCTTTTTGTATTCACTTCTTGCTTCACTATAAAAAAAAGTGTAAATTATATGGAATTTTTTTGAGGATTAATTTGAAAACTCGAAGGAAATAGTTTCTTGCAAATTTCATACAGATCTCCGTGAAAATCGTCACGTAATTCATAATTTTTTTTATAGTGCTTCTACATTTATGTAGGTTTCGAGCCCGATATTGTGTGATTGTTCTTCTTTTCCTTTTTCGAGACTTGTTGAAGGACTTGAGAGGTAAATGTTTGTCATCTCTACAGACGAAGACTTGTACTTATTTCTTAATATTGCATTTTGTGTATAACAATCAGATTTCTGGATATTAATAGAATGAATAGTTTTTGTGCTTTTATATATCTTGTTCTTGTTTTATCATTCCATTTTCTTTTGTTTTCGTTGAGTTGAGTCTGATTTGTTTTGATTTAGCAATAATAATATCAACACTTTATATAAAAATTATAAAAGCTAAGTTTCAATTAATCTGAATACAATGGCATTATTAATATAGTATCACTTAATTATGTTTTGCCACTAAAAAAATAAATTATTGTCATTAATAAGTATCTCTTTTCCTACCGTGTGATATTCCATCTTCCATAAGCCAAAAATTAAATAAATACAATAAACATATAACATCACTAGGAATTAACCACAGGATTTTCATTAACTACATAAATACGTTCTAAGAGAGATACGAGGAACGTATAATCTAGTGATTAATATATTAAGGTAGGATTTTCATTAACTATATAAATACGTTCTAAGAGAAATACGAGGAACGTATAATCTAGTGATTAATAAAATATGTTGAAAATTATGAAAAATAAATTTAAAATCTAGTTCAGGCAAAACCACTAGGTGCCCATTTGGCCATGGATAGCATCTTCTTTTTGGTCGAAAATTTATTCTTGAAAATTGTTTAAACATGGAATTGCTACAATTTTACCATAAATAAAAGACCTTAGTTGAGTTGATTTTGAAATACCAATAATTTGTTTTCACAATTTTCACTCCATATCACTCATTAAAAATTTCAAAAATAACTTAAATTTATATGTATATCATCCAAACATAACTTGCAATTACTTACATAATCTTTAGCAATAATTAATTAACCTTAATAGCTTAATTACTATTAAATATATATATATATTTAGTGGCAATAGCTTAATTGTCATTAAATATGTACTTTAATGACAATCAACACTCTTTGTAAATCTCCTTAAAATCTACAAAACATTAAATCCAATAACAATTGACTAATTAATATTGGTAAACACTTTATTACTCTTTGTTAGTGTGTATTTATAAGCGCTAAAAATTATTTTTAATATGGTGAATTTCAAATACCATTTTTAGCTTTAAAACTATTTTACTTTTCTTTTTCAAATTTCACAATTTATTTACGTTGGTAGAAGATAATTATAATTATTCATAAGACTCGTCGAAGTTCGCTCAACTTATCCTAAAGACGAACAAAAAATAAAGAAAAATTGAAACATATTTTTTTTTTATTGAACCATATTCATGCAAATGGACCATATTTTAAAACCTTACATCAATTTTTAATTTCTTGAGACAATTTTAAAGGTCACATGGAGCAAATTTGAAATTGCAAGTAAAGGCAGATTCTTTTCCAACAGTTTTGTCACAAGAAATCACTCTTGTGGATTAAATTAATAATATAGGATTTCATAATCTAATCTTTATTCTCCCTAATCCCTAGTACTTAAATATTCCTTAAATATTTCCAAAACATTCCTTTATCTGCTTGACTATCCTTTTGCAATTCTATGTCATAAATTTATTCGTATTCAATATTTATATTAAATTAAATTAATTTATTATACTAAGGTTATATATGAATGCACATTGCATATTTTTTTGTTGAGTTATAAAATTATAGTAAATATTTTATTTTATAAAATAATCCTATTCATCGAGATTTACACAAATAGAAAGCATTAACATAATAGTTTTACCTATTAACTCGACTATTATCACGATCACGACTAAATATTTTTATACTTTTTTTTTATATTATATGATTAGTACTCGAGTCAATGTACATATCTTTAAACTATTTTATTGAGTATCTGTTATCAATTTTCTTTCTTTTTATGTATATAAATATAAAAAGAATAGATTAAGAATAGAAGATATATATTCCACATTACTTTTGCTTTTTCTTATTTGGTCAAAACTAACGTTACGCAATTACAACGTGAATTGTGCCATTGATAATGTTGACTACTTTCTTATTTGCAAAAAGCAAATTCTGATTTTTTTATATCTATATTATATATATAATATAATTTTAATTAAAATGAAATATTGTATACATATAAATCATGTATTAAATTTCTTATTATAAAACAGAATGTTATAATTTTAAATTTTTTTAATATAATTATATTTATTCATTCACTTTTACTTATTATTTATTATTAAAATATCTTTTTAATTTTTACTTGTCACTTTTGAGATACCAAAAAAATATAATAATTTCTTTCATATTTTATTATCAACATTAAATATTTATTCTTCAAATTATTTTTTAAATATTATTTAATGGAGAATATTTTTATAAATTACTTATGTCATTATTTATTTTCTTAATACATATCTCAAAGTTAAAATGACCGAAGAGAGTATTAATATCGCTAACTATAATTTCTCTGTCATTATTTATATGTAACTATTTGTGTTTCTAGTACTTTAAGAAACTATATAAGCATATTTTTTTTATCTTTCTTTACCATTTTTTAGAGTCAAATTTTTAATAAGTGAA